ACGCTCGCACACATCACACATACTAGAAACATGCACACACATATACATGCCTACATGGAAGCACACACATATCACAGTACAGTGACACACCTGTATTCACACATATACACATGCGGACATATATATCACAGTGACACATTCACCCGTGTACATGTGAACACACATACATCCATTGAGACACATGCTACACCAACCCACACTTTCACTGTCATACACATGCAGCCCCACTCACACACACACACACACACACACACTCTCCCAAGCTGGTTCTCAGGTCTCACAAATGCGGGCTGCCCTGCCTTCTCTGTCACATAGCAGTGTGCTTGGACACAGGCTGTATAGAAAGGTACATAGTTTTAATAAGGAAAAAGTAAACAAAGGCTCTGTGCTGTGTCTGTGTTCTTTGAGATTTGCAGCTGTTCTCTAAACGTGGCTTGGAGGAGGCACTGACCCAGGGAGCGCTCATTCTTGTGAAACGTGTGTTGTCACAATGAACAAACATGGCAAGATCCTGTGAAGCCAGTTCACAAGGCTCAGTGGGAGGCAAAGATCCTGGACCCTCTGCAAGACCTAGGCACCCTCCTTGGGGCTGCCCCTTCTCCCCCAGGGCATCAGCCTCCAGGACCTTTGGGAGAGTCCTCGGAGGACAAAGGGGCTTTTTCACCACCTGAAGCCAATGGGATGTCCCTTGGTCCCATGGTGGGACCCCATGGCGCCTCCACCCCACTCACAAGTACACTGGGGAAATCTACACTGCTTTTCCATGCTGAGGGTGATGGTCATGTTTGGATCACCACCAGGCCCAAGATGGCTAAGGACAGTCACAGGCGGCATTCAGATGCTCCACACTGTTCTTCAAGTGTCTTGCTTGCATGGCCAGCACCATCGGAGGGGTGTGCGGAAGGCAGTAAGATGCTACACACCATACTTCAACGCCACTGTGTCCTTTGTGGGCTCACCTCCTGCTACTCTTCCTCTCTCCCACACCAAGGCCTGCCCAAGGGACAGAGGACACACTTGGCCCGGGAAAAGCAGCCGCACACACCTCAGGGGGCAGTGTGGGCCAGGTCTGCATCAGGGAGGACATCAAGAAACAGGGATGCAGGGAGCAGCTGTGGAGGGGAAGGGACAGGCAGGCCAGGCTGCAATCTGTGTACGAGGGGCTGGGGCCAACATCTATCTGTGTTGGATTCTGGGAGTAGGGTCAGGCTGTACTGAGTTTGGAGCCTTAGTTGGGGCTCTGAAGAAAGGATAAAGAAGCTTACACATGGAGGTGGGCTAGTTTGGGGCACCTCCTGCACGCCTCCTGCGTGTCCACTTCTGAGAGACATCCCCAGATCTGGTGCAAGGCGGCTGTTCAGCTGTGAGCCTGAGCAGGAGAAAGTCATGTCCCTGCTCCCCTGTCCTCGAGGCCCTCTGCCCACCCCATCTGACCTCAGACCTCATGGGAGCCTTCTGGGGAGGCAGGATCCAAGGCAAGAAAAGCCTTGGCCACATGATGACCACCGGCTGGACCAGCCCACTGCACAGTCGCCAAGAGCAGTGACTGTGGCCTGAACCCCTAGACCTGGAGTGCTTTCATACAGCAACAGAAACCAAAGCAGGCTTTATTCCTGTTTTTATAAAACTTTGACAGAATAGATATCTGCAACTTTACAAAGAGGAGCCACATTTAACACTGTCCTCCAGAACTGGGTGGGGCTTAAGACATCACGAACTCACACACTGGCACATTCTGTTCTCCTGGCATTAGTGTGCTCTGCATATCTGCATGCATGCACAAGCATGTGCTCTGTCACACAAATCTGCACAGACACAGCCCTCTCCAGTAGAGGTGGCGGCACCGCGCCGTCACAAACCTTCAGAGCTGGGGTTGATGGGTCTCAGAGGCCATCAGGGGTTCTGGCACCCAAGGGAGTGACTGCTCTCAAGTCTCACCCTGCCAGTGTGACTTTCTGGACAAACATTTTTCTACCAACTTTCATCATTGGAAAACATCATCTGACACAGAAGCACAGATCCTTAGCTCAAGCCCTTTAAAGATAGACTTCAATTCACAATGTAATCATACAATCCTGTAAGACCTAGGGAGAGACACAACATCTCTCGAAAGCTTTGTGATAGACTGCTAGGGCTCTGCTCACTGCTCCCAACCCAGGCCCTCCAATGGCTGCTGGAGTGTCCCAATGGGCCTGGCTAATGTCCATGGTGTCCACAGAAGGGACTAGCATCCAGAGCCGTAAGGGTGACTGTCCCTATTGTTGGACACAGTAGCAAGGGTGAGTACCGGTGGAGCTCTGCTCTCACCCTTGAAGGCCAGGAACCAGCTCCCAAGACCCCATGCCCAGGTACCAGGGAAACAGGAGGGCTAGGGCATTCTTTGTCATTCAGAAAAGGTCACTTACCAGCCCAAGGCTGACTTACATCCTGAGCAGTCCCAAGCATCCAACACAACAGTACTGATACATCCACCACGACCCCTGTCTCAGTACAGGTAGGGAAGCGGGGAACCAAGGACAGCCCCTGTGGCTGAAGCCAGCTCCTCCTGCCAGTGTGCCGGCTTCTTCCACAAGTGTCACTTGGCTCACATCTCAGCCCCTGTGAGCAGCGATCTGGATGCCTTGTCAGAAGACAAGAGGACAACTGTGCTTTTAGTTCAGGTTTAGTAGTTTCTCAAAAAACAAGAACACTCAAGCTTGCCACCAAGGTGAAGATGTAGGATATGGAGTCACAGTCACATGCCCCAGTGCATGGGACAGTGAGGAAACTGAATTTAAGGGAAGAAGATCACATAAACACTAGTGCCCTTTTTTTGAAAACATACAATTTGAATGTACATATGGGTATCGACTACTGAAACAGAAATACCAAATTTCAAATACTGTCTAGGTAAATAACTGCAGCAGTCCCAAGTTTGTGAGATCAAGGAACAATCCAAATGTGCTCATTCAGTGCACTCCTTCTGTGGGTCAGAGGTTCTGCAGACAGCAGGTTGAGGAAATAGCTGAATACCTTGTGGGCCACTGCGTTAGCCTGAGGTGCGGTTAGGGAACTCCCTCAGACAGCCACAGGAACTCAGAGTTACAGGTGGGAATCAACCAGTGAAGGCAAGAAGAGATCCCAGTGAGGAGGCAGGGGAAGCTGACAGTGGGAGCCCTGCACACCTAGCAGGCAGGTGGCCACACCTCACCAGGTGGGACTTTGCCTTGCCATGCTGTGCACAGCTGGAGGGTGCTGGCCACTACCAGGCAGAACTTGCAGTAACTGGGCTCTCTGCAAGTGAGGTCAGCAACATGTGAGAGGTGCCTCCCAGCCTCCCCAGCCCAAAGACCTGTAAACAGGCAAAGCAGTCAAGAAGCATCCAGATCCCGCACTGCTGAGCAGTGACAAGGTGCTGCAGCTCCACTCAGTTTGATCACAAACTGATACAGAGTGTCAGTGTCATCCATACTTGTTCCTCTCCCCGAAGCCTGGGACCAGACACAGAGCAAAGCGCCCTGCCTGACCCGTCCCTGAACACAGACACACATGAGACTCTGAAGGTTAAATTATTTCAGAATTAGTCTCCTTCAGAGAAGGGCATGGGCAATGCAAATTCTCCTTATCATTGCACTTAGCTGGGTTTTCTTTATAATTTAAAACATATTTTCCAATTATGTGCATGATTACATAGGCAAGCCAAGTTAAATGTGAAAGGCGTCTAAGACCGTGTTGATTGAAGTGCTTAAGTTTCCTCCAAACTGTACAAAATCAAGATCCCATTATGAAGGCTGAATGCCTCAGTGGTTTTCAGTGATTAGAATAAGTACGGGACTGGCCGCCTTCAAGAAAATTCCAGTTGGTAAATGTGAAAAGGGAAAAACACTACCAAACACTAGCCTTACATAGATCGCTGCTTTGTTGGCCCAACCTGGGAAGAGGCACGGCATCATGGGACGCCACTGCTGGGCAGAGGACAAGGGCTGTGCATGCCTGAGGTCCGGCTCAAGACAGGAGCCCAGTTCCAAAGATAACACTCTTTGAAACAGCAGGGTTGACATGGTGCAAGGAGACGCCCCTCGGGGCCACAGCAACATCCTCCTGTATCTGAGACACGCCTGCATGGTTTACCTTTCTGTCTTTGCAGCTAAGTACCAGTAAGCACAGGCTCTTTATGTCATCTCCAGCCCCTCTTATTAACACAGCCTCGCCCAGCATACATCCACACTTGGAGCCAGCAAGGTCCTCACCATGCTAGCACACTGTCTGGTTGAGGTGGCCAGAAATGAGACAGCCCCAGGAAAGCACTCCAAGTCCCAATCTTACCCATGGCACCAGAAACAACTGGAGTATTTCCAGGCTGAGCCAGGGTAAGAACAAGGTCTGCTGAAATCATGGGGAGGCCATGCTTCAGCACCTCCTCAGGACTCCTCAGGGTGATGTGGTCCTCTTGGGGCTTGTGGACACAGAGATCTCACACACACACACACACACACACACACACACACACACACACACGCACACGCACACATGCACACGGACACAGATCTGTGGCTCTGAGAGTCAATGGTGACAAGAACAGCAGCACCAGGCATCCAGCCACAGGTGCCGAGGTCAGCAGGCCTGCATGTCCACTCCTTCCTGCTACCCGCCGACTGCCAGTCCGAGTGGCTTCTTTGAGGAGGTGGGAGGGCTCTCCTTGAGGCCAGTGCAGCCCCAGGGGAACAGCTGGGAGGGAGGGCTGGCCTGGAAGCTGAGAGGTGCTGCCCAGGGCTCACTCCAGGCAGACCAGGAACCCACAACACAGCAAATAAACCCTTCAAACACTGCAGCTGCCCTTAACACTGACAGGTCCCGGAGGATGGACCGGAGGACTTGCAATGGCAAGAATCTGCTGGATAACTCAGATGCAGTGTGAAGAGCCAGTCTGCCACATGGGACTCAGGCCTGCCTGTCTCTCAACAACCAGAAGCCAATTCCCACCAGCAGGAAACTCAGATGACCAGTTTTAAAGAATGTACCTGGAGCCTTCTCCACAAAAATGACTTTGGAGTCCTGTAGAAAGTTATGGCCAGAGAGGACCATCTTCTTCCCACCAATGACTGGGTAGCTGTCTGTGCTCTGCTTCTCCACAAGGGGCAGTTCCTGGGCGGACCGCTGGGCTGCACAGGACAAGAAGAAGTCAGTGAGCCAAAGTCCTCCTGTATTCCCTGTCCAGAGAGAGCCAAGCTGAGGACATTGAAGATCCCCCAGCACTGCTTCCTGACATAATTGCCCAGAATCGAGGACCAACCAACCCTCAAACCCAGAATGCATCCTGCATTATACCAGATAATCTGCTTTAACTAAGCCTTAGGGGAACTGGAACCAACTCCCTATCATGACACATTGTATGGAAGCTGGAAGCAATGAGAATCCTGGTCCCAGGCTTCAGTGAGGGGGACGAGTATGGATGACACTAGACTGATGGCTCCCAGCGTGGGCTAGAGTCCCAACCGTGAGGATGCCTCACCACACAGAAGCACACGGAGACCCCAGGACAAGAGTAGCCAGGCCGTGGAAGGCAGTGCACAAGTGTTAGGCAGAGGCTAAGAGCAGGGAGAGAAGGGAACCCTGCAGGCAGTGAGGAGGGAGCCCTCTGGAGGGGACACTGCTCTCTGAGCAGAAGCGAGTGAGGTGAGTGATGTCCATGAGTACCTGCACCAGGTGCTCTCAGGGGACCCTGGGCAAGGTGGCCCCCTCACCAAGGTGAGACCAGGCCTCAGGGAGGCGAGGCAGCTCACCGGAACCTCCAGGTGCACAGCTAGACAAAAACACAAACTACACTCGTCCACGGGGCAGGGGAGATGCCAGGAAAAACAGGGAAGGGCTCCAGGCTTTTCTGGTTTGGGGCTGAAAGACTCAGAAGTACACCCAGAGCAATCCACTCCACTCGCTGCCCTGGGACCACGATGCTTCTGACACCTTCTCCTGCACTGTTTGTTCTTCAGGCTACAAAAGTCAAGGAGCCAAAGGCAAGACAGAGCCATGGAGAAGGAAGGCAGTGCTGGGAATAGGGACCAAGGACAGGCTGAGTCCGGCCGTGCTCCTTCATAGGGCTGGATCACACCTCAACGTCCCAGTCTCAGAATGCGTGAGAAGGCTGCAGCGTGACAGGAGGGGATGCTGACACCAAGAATCTGACACTCCCACACAAAGCTGGCCAGCACCTGACTCACGAACCAACGATCAGCACAGCAGCAACAAAGGAAGCCTAGAGCCCGATGCTACACCCCCAACCCCACCTGCCCAAGACCTCCTCCAGAGGCTGGCTGGCTGGCTGGATGGTTGGCACGGCTGCGCCAAGATCAGGAAGCTTGCAGACCACGCTCTGCTGTGGCCCCTCACAATTTAAAGGGCCAAAACCCCAGGAAGATGAGCAGTTGTACACCAATTTACACAGCTTCCGTTGGGAGGTGGAGCACAGCGGTGGGCACTTGCTCAGTGTTCAGGAAGCCCTGGTTTCATTCCCAGCACAACGAAACAGAAAAAACATGCATGTTGGTTCGGACTGAATGACTACAGTGGCTTTTTTTGTTCTCTAAAACCTTACTAGAATTCATTCAAACATGGGTGAAAAATCTTTCTCAGAGCTTTCAGACAGGCCCTGTTTTCTCCTATGGTGCTGGGGTCAGGACTGCAGGATCTCCAGGAACAGTCTGTGCCACACTAAGTTACTTGCAACGTGGGCCTCACCAGACCCTACAATCGACACAGAGATTGGTCCCATCTAGAGGGGATGCACCCAGAAACAGACATACCAGACAGCAAGCGGTCAGGCCACAAGTCTATTCACACAGAAAGCAAAGAAGTGGGAGATGGACCAGTCTCGGTCCCCCACCCCTGGAGGTCTACTTACAGCATTCAATGGGGTTTGAGGCGACCTGCAGGGACAGCGTCCGGCCATTGGGCTGTGGGACGTGGACTCGGAAGACCAGCCGCACCCTGGTGTTCTTCCGCCCAATGTCAGTCTCCCCTTTCCGCAGCTCAATGTCAGAGTTTCTGAGTTTTAGAATCCCAGCACAATCGATGCTGCCCAAAACAAAAAGCCATGGCTTGGCTTCAGTCACCAGTACCTCACCTCCCCAGACTGCTCCCATCCATCCAGGCCCCGCAGGTAAGTCTTCAGCCTTAGCGGCCCTGCCTCCCAGGAGTGCCTGCAGTCCCCTGATTGTTGTATGGGATCTGGCATCCACTGTGCCCATGAGCAGGAAGCGAATTGGCCGTGTAGATACACCCTCCAGCCCTGGCCAGGAGGGAGACACACACTCACTGTCTCCGCTGTCCCAGGCTATGTCCTGCTCGGCTCACTGCAGTGGTCCCTGAGGAGGAGCTGCAGGCCCTGCCATCTCCTGTGCACATCCTGCAGCTCCCCCAGAAGCCAGCACTCTCGCTGGCTGGACCACTGCTCCCTTGCTCAGCTCCAAATTCATTTTCTTATAAACTTTTTTCTAGGGTTTTACATAGCCTCCTAATTCCTTTCAAATTTAGACTCCAGTAAAACCCTCCTCCATGTATAAATTATTGATGCAATAAAAGCCAGTACTCTGTTTCTTGATTGACCAAAAGAGACAGACCTATGTGTGTCTCTCCCACCCACTAGAGGGTCACATGGAGACCAGTGAGTCAATGTGGACACAGAAAGTGTGTCCAGTGGGCATGTCCTGAGACACGTGGAGCTGTGTGCTCCAGGGGTCCCCTTCCCGGGGTGAACTGCAACACAGCACAGCAATCACCGGCTTCACAGTTCCTGTGGCTGAAGGAACACAAGGCTTCTTTTGAACCCTGGGGCCTTATCCCAGACCTTGGAAAACCTGGATTACAGCTTGGAAAGCAAATTCACAGATTCTGAACGAAGGTGACTATGGTAAATTCCCTTAAATTCAGGAACAGCCAGCATGGAGAAAGAGCTCTCCCTGTTTTCAGGGAGAGGGCGTTAAAGTTATAAATAACTTATTAGGATCAAACAAAGTGCTGTGTGATCCAGCCCTTCCCCACCTCACCTACACTCCATTACCATGCTGAACCAGACACACTGAGTCTCCTTACTGGCCAATAAGTGCCCAAAATCCCCTCCTGCCCTATGGCTTTGGCATGAGGCCACTGAGCACTCCACATACGCAGCCCCTCCTGCACACTGGCTCTCACCAAATGGTACCTGCTGGAGACACTTGCCCTGCCCTGCCTTCAAAAGCAGCTCCAAGTCTCCTAGCACCAATCCTGTCTCACTTACCATGTGTTTCCACTCTCACTACTTGAGCTTTGCTTCTTTATATGTACATATGTGTTAATTATCTGTTGGCCCCACTATGGGTCCCCATACAAGGCAAACAACATGGGTACACCCAGTGCGGCCTCTCTCTCTCCTTCATTCACAGCTCAGGGTTGATGAGCGTGGCACGATAGTCACTCAATTCATAGGATTAAACGACAACACCCTCTCTTCTGTCACCTGGTGTGTCTTCTGCTTTTTGATAAATTTCTCTATAAGCTAGTTTGATTTTGCATGCCAGAACTGGCCATATCAGCAATGTCAGCAACTCTCAGGGTGCAAACACACCAAGAGACATTGCTGTTTCGTTTTCCAGTGTTTGCATTTCAGCCATTCTTCTAATTTGCACTCCTACATTCAGAAATAAATAGGTGTCATATTTAGGAGGTAAATGAGGCACTTGGGGAGGTATTTACAGCTGTGTAACGGAGATGCTTATTTTAAGTGGCAATATACACAGTGGCTGAAACCCTAGAAAGAAACAAATCCGCTGTCATAAATATTTGCAGTTTATTTAGATGCTGAGCCACGACGCCCGGCCTGGAGCTGTGAGAAAGCCCTGGGATGCAGAAGCAAAGCAGTGTCGCCCACAGCCAGAGCCCCCAGAGGCTTACATGGCTCGCATGTTATTTTCCGGCAGCAGCGGGATCTCCAGGACTTTGGTGTTGGACAGGATGGCCTCGTGGCTGGTAGTGGAAACCGTTTTCCCTGTGATCCGGTGGACCTGGTAGAAGGCATGGGGCCGCAGTAGGCGGTCGTCCGCTGTCCCAATGAACAGCTGTAGAGTGAGTGGCTCATTTTCCAAGTAACCATGTAGCTGGCAAGAGAAGAAAAAACTCCCACTAAGTACCATGCACATAAACTTCTGGAAATGAAGTGTATGTGAATCAAAAAGAAAGCAGCTACAGCTGCCAAGTGTCCAGCACCCCACCCCTTTTATTTCTCTGTAATAATCATATAACACTGGTACTTCTTCAAACTTGCAAAATGCCTTGTTATCCTGAAGGTCCTGGGGCACACAAGTTAGGCTTTAAATACTTCTGTTTCTTTCCTATATGTGTACCTTACCTCATACATGCCTGTACATACGTACAACACAAGACAGTGTGCACCCAAGCTGCAGCACCCCCAGCACCAATGACAACCGCCATCACGGCCTGTGTTTACCTCCTGTCCAGGCAGGACTGGTGGAAAGGCGCCTACAGCAGAGCCTACCATCTTATCCCTCTGTCCTGTGCACATCGTAAGTAGCTTCCAAGGGAGCAAACAGCCTCCTTCCTCAGCACTTGAGCTGCCAACCAAGGTGGTCGCCTCCAAAATCTGAGCTCTAAGGCTATGCTCTGTCTTAATATTATATCCATGCACACAGCCACAAAAGGACAGCACCTACACTTCCCTGTCTTCAGTTAAGTGAAGTGAGCAGAGTATGGAGTCCAAACATCCTGAGTAAACAGCATTTGCAAACAAACATAAAATTGGACCTGCACCAAGATGCATCCCTTTTCTGACTGGCTGGGTGCATCTCTCTTTGTTCAGAAGCAAGTGGCAGCCTCAGTCACTCTGGTGAAGCCCAGGAGACTGTAGGCAGGTGAGCTGAGCATCTGCCAACCAGCGGTGGACCCCGCACAACAGGACTGCTGTGGATTTCCCACCACCCTCTCCACTTGGTGTAGCCATGGCCTCAGAAACAGAATGCACACAGCTCAAATAAGGTATGGCAAAGCAGATCCAGAGCAATTCCACATGTTGCTTCCAGGACATGAGAGGGTCACCATAAGGCTGTACTTCAGAAGACGTCCTACATCTTAGTCCTGGTGGTAAAAACCTGCCACCCTCTGGGAGCCTTTGTCCATTCCAGCCACAGAATCCTGAGAGCTGACACTATAGGCACACCTGGCTGCACCCCAAAGGGCCCTGCAGCCCCACAGGGAAAGGCTGGGTTAGATAACACTCGTAGGAATCCAGAGCCACCTATGCCTGGCACAGGCTGCGAGGTCTCTGCCCCATGGGTGCACAGTCTCTTCCTTCTCCTCCTGCCACCACTGGTGACTGTGCCAGCAGTTCGGCCCCGAGCCTGTGAGGGCTTCCAGGGAAGCTCTGGTTGTTGTCATCAGGGATCTGTTCATGCATGGATGCAGGCAGAAGTGTTAGGAGGTGGACCTCAGCACTCAGAGTCAAGGTTGGTGTAAGGCTGGACACATGGAGATGGGCTAAGGAGACCAGAAAGAGTTTGATTTTAGGGATACAGAGTAGGAGACTAAGGGACAGAAACACCACGTATCCCTTAGGAATACGGCAACAACAACTACAACAAAGCCAAGCTCCAAGATGCAAAGAAACTCCAGCCACAAAATGTACCCAGAAATTCTCAGAAAGAAGAGAAAGTGAGATAACATAAGAAGAAAGAAACACAGACCCACCCCTGGGTCCAACCCATTGTCTGCTTGACTTTAATCAAAATTCCAACCTCATGGGCTGGTAGAGGTCTGTAAATTTTCTTTTTAATATGCCATTTTGGAAAAAGCAATGAACTTCAGAAATGGGAAACAGAAAATCAGATATTGCAATTAGTTGCTGCTGGATTTTGATGTGGGCAATGGGTGCTGGCTTTTTATAAGGCCCTGGCCCCTCACACATCCTTCATGTGAAGATCGGCAGCCACAGCCTCTGGCTTGATGCAAGGTGGGGTGCTCATTACAAGAGGCCACAGCATCGTGATATTCATTAACTCTTCCGAACCACCAGCACGTGGCACTTGGCCAGAACAAACACTGCCACCAGATAAAAGGACCCTGAGCTGACAGTATACTTCAAACAGGTACAGCCTACATCCTCTCGTTCAATTATCAGCCCCCCAGCCAGTAGCAGCAGGGAAAAAAATGTGTTCTCTATTGCATCAAAGCCTCACTTGGGTGCAGACACAGTAATTTGCCGCCTCAATGAGCACAGGAGGCCTGGTTTTTGGACCTGGCTAGGTGGGAGTTTCAACAAAGGACACATTCCCCAAAGACCTTTGAGAGGCCACGTTACAAGTGAAAGCTTGCTGCTTCCACAGGGAAGGAGGTACCAGCCCACCCAGAACACAGGGCTCAGGAGAACCTGTGCTGCTCTGCCCTGGCTCCCACTGAAGGGTGAGGTGCACAGCCACTCTGAAGAGGGAACAAAAGCAGCTGGTGGCGTCTGAGGGCTGACCCTGAACTCTTAGAGGTTTGTATGCAGCAAAAGTTTGTTTCCCCTGCCCTCAACCCCATGCAGTACATGGGGGTCTTTCTAGGTCCACTAACTTCCTCCTCTTTAGCCTGACTGAGACTTCAGCACACACACAGGGGAGCTGAATTTAAGATAAGAAGTAAAAACCTGGGTGTGGTGGTGCATGCCCTTCATCCCGGTAATCTGGAAGGCTGAATCAGGAGGTTCACAAATTCGAGCCCAGCCTGGGCAACATAATGAGATCCTGTGTCAAAGTAAAAAATAAAAAAGGGGCCAAGGATGTAGCTCAGTGTGAAGGCCCTGGCTTCATCCCTAGTACCAGCCGTGGGGAACAGAAATGACTGAAAGCCCCTCATGATTCCATTGGTGCCTGCACTCAGCACAGCTCAGACCCTCAGGAACCATCCGTGCAAGCCACAAAAGACTTGGCCACTGGAATTCCTCAATTGAAAGATGAAGACATCAGAAAAGGATTCCATGAGATGATCCATCGGAGCCTGGAGTTCTGGAGGGAGAGTCAGTCAGTGAGCTGAGTGCCAAGAGTAGGACACACTTCCAGTTCAGCTTGAGAGCAGATTTGGGGATTCAGGGGCAAAGGACCCAAGTCCTCATGCATAACAGCCTGCTTCACTGGGCCAGGACCAGGGCCAGATAAGGAACTGCTAGGGGTCAGTCACCAACCCCATCAACCCATCTGCCTGTCTCCTTCACAACACACCCTATAGATGTGACCACCGGGCATACAAGAAGCTGTACTACTAGTCAAGAGTACTGACTGCTGAGGCCTGAGTGAATCCGCCACCAGCAATCTCTAGACACTAGTGTGGGGCTTTGTAGGGCATCTCTAGGCAGCTTGCCCAGCAGCTCTGATTAATTCTTAGAGCCAGTGCTTGTCATAAGCTGCGGATTGACCAATGGAGGCTCTAACATCACTTGTAGGCTTCACAAGGGCAGAGGATGGGCTTTGTGTAGGATATGTCTGTGTGGCAGGTATGGTGTCATTGCCAGCGATCTCTCTGTGTGTGCTCTGCAATACTGGCTCTACTGTGGGCAAGTTCTTGCAGGAAGATGTATGAATCTTTGTGTATAGCATCCATAGTACCCATGAATTGACCACCTCAGACTGATTATTTCATTACAAGTTGAGTGCTTCTTCTGATACATGTGCACCTGCCACAGAATGGCTGTGCCAGCATCTTCAGGCTACATGCTAAGTAAGACACACCTGCAGAGGATGCCTGCTGAACCCCTGGTCTTCCTGGAAGAGCTCAAGGTGCCCAGGTAGAAGGCTTCAGTCAGTACCGGGTATAGTGAGAGAGCAATATGCCCCACCCCACGGTTTCCATCTCATGGGTCTGCCTAGATCGAAAGTGGTTTAGATCTGAAATGGGCCCCAAAATCTTGTGTGTTGACAGGTGGCTGGATCATGGGGGCACTACAGCTGACTTGTTGTTAGGAAGTGGGGTCTGGTTTAGTTCCCTTCCAGTTTCCTGCTGTCACTCTCTGCTTCCTGGTCACTGTGCTCCTCTACCATGCTGTCATGCCTTGGAGCTGACCGTGGACTACAACCATGAGCCAAAATAAACCTCTGCTCCTTTAAGTCATGGGCACGAGGCATCGTGTCTGAGGGATGAGGAAAGCAACCAAGAAGCCAGCTAAACACAGATGCTACAGTCTCACAGTCAAGGCCACCCATGGGGAAATCTGGCTCCCCACACGGTTCAGAGTGGTTGCTGCTAGCACTGCCCAACTCTCCAGGAACAAAATGCCTTTCCCTTTAGAAAACAGATCCTTTTCTGAATGAAAATATGAGTCTTTACAGTGAGTGTTCAGCTGAAACAGGAGACCAGGACCAGCCTATCCGGTCTGTTCACTGCTGCAAAGTCTGCAGTCCCTCACCCACCTAATGAGCTCACTAAGAAACCGTTACTCTACAGGAGGAAAGATGGTTTACAGTGGGAAATGTAAAGAGTGTCAGAGGCAGATTTTGCCACTTAGTATTCCATTTTGTGAAATTTAACACAGGAATATGCAAATGGGTCTTGGGCCAAAATGCTCTCGGTGGGCAGGGCCTAGAGCAGCCCAAGGGCTCTGGTCCAGCCTGGCTAAGGTCAGATAACTATAAAATGACACTTCAAGACTCCCTAGGGCCCCTGCTCTGGCAGTTCTCTGATGGCCATGGAAGACAGTGAATTTGGGGTATAATTTTATCTTTAGAAAAACGCCATTTCAGTGAAAATGAGAATATTTAAGGTTTAACCTGGGAGATAAACATCTATTATTTAAACCATGAAGTTCATTTTAAGGAAAGAAATGTGAACTGCTTTACACATCCCCCTGCATGGACCTTCTGCCTCTGGCACATAATAGTGTCTGTCAGAAAAGAGTTTATGAAGTTACCTGTCATGACAATGACCTCTCTGCTTCCACCTAAACTAAACAAAATGTATTATTCCGTTTGCAAGGTGTAAGGGCCACAAGTTTCCTCGCATTAAAATGTTTGTTTTTAGCTCCTCTGCTTACCTCAGCACTTACATGGTGAGATGACAAGTGAACAGAACAACGGAGGACAATTTATTTAGGGCTGGAGCTCACCCAAAGCTCCTC